GTTATTGCATGGCCTTCGTCAGGCTACGAGAACAAGCGAGGAGGAAAACGATGAAGGAGACGGGGCAGCAGTGGCAAATAAAAATTGTGCACGTGTGGCTTTCAACAAAAGAAAACATGCTCATTCTACTACCAATTGCTATGCAGACAAGTGCTCCCCCGGTTTACTGGAGTGAACCGGTTACGACTCGTGCCGTTGTCCAATGTCCGCTGGATCTCCTTCGTGCCTGGAAGAGGGCCAACGAAAATACACCGAATGAAAACAAGAACAGCAGGCACTCCACGCGAAGAATGAGAGAAATGCTTGTTGCTGCAGATCCAAGATAGAGAAATAAAAAAAATGACATATTGTTACTAATATACCGAGGATACCCAGATCAGAACGGGATTTATAACTATAACGAATAAGGAACATGGTTAATTCCGCTTAAAATTCCATTTGCATAGAAGTTGCAACGAACGGATGTTACGAAGTCTTCCCTTCTCGTTCTGTATTAAAATCACGGGAGCAGGCCACGCGTCCATTGCATCTGAATTCCTGCACGATCGACACCTGACAGACAGACTATTTTAAGCTCACGGGACGACGTAGTTGGGCGGAGGACCGAGCAGACGGTTGCAGGGTGTTCGTACAAACCCCGAAGAGAGAGTGCCTGCTCGCACAAACGAGTATCCGTCGACTCGTATCGTCGTTAAACCGCTAACGAGCTTCGCAGCGGTTCTGGAAGTGGATGTTTGGAAAAAGCGTTCCGGTTCTAACGACGGCATAAGAGCTGGAGGAGGACGTCGAGTCGCGTTGCAGAAGTGGAGAGCCGTCAACGCCTTTTTCGTGCTTCCATTATGCATCGAGAAGCAGGAAGATTCCGCAATCAGTCGATCGTCAGAATAATCGTCACGGTTCCCTTGTTGCCCTGAGACCTCATCTCTCATTAATACGTTTTGAATTGCGACAGTCGAAGGCTATGACGTAGTACTGCTGTTCAGTCAGTGAAGGCGATGACGAAGGTGAATGCGAGGGGCAATTTAGTTGTGTGAGGTGAACAGGTGAAAAACTAAAATGCCTGCTGTGAAAGTGAGAAATGCTGTCTGCTGTGCGAAAAATCATGCCAAGTTGAGAACTTCATGAAATTTATATTTTAATGAATAGGGTATTCGATAAGTGAACGCCTTCATGCCCATTCAATCGTTCTTGTTACTTGACTGAATATCACACGAAACTTCCCCCTGTTCCCCTCTTCTAGTTTTTTATTTATTTCCCCGGCCTTCTACGTCATAGATGAAAACTTGTCGGTGCATCGACGGAATCTCCATGCAGTCCTTTTGCACCGCGGGCTTGCTGGGAATCCAGAAACACTGCCTTCTGCAGGTGAGGGAGAACGGCCCTTTCGTGATGTCATTGTAAATCGATGTTTCGTGACGTCATTAACAATGACGACACGAAAGCGTCGCGTACTCTGTGATCAATTTAATGACGTCAGAGGGAATGTGATTTTCATCATCCCTACCGGGACCCCCGTCGCGTGCAATGGCACGGTGCATCTCGGCTGAACTTATCATTGAGGAACCCAGGCATGAAAGAAATATGCACCGTCGATGTCACGCCACATGCCAAGGAAGGGAGAGGCCTGAGATCCAGACGATGAATCGCAGAGCAGCCCATACAGATCGATGTGCATCCGTGACGGGATTCCTGAGGAATGGAGGAATGGGGGGGGGTTACCCCGGAAGCAGCATCATACGGTCTCCGCTGCATGCTCGCCGTTTCGATATGACTGTCTGGAGGTCGAGCTCGCGTGAAGTTCCCAGGCGAGGCGACTGGAGGGTAGGGGTGGGACGTCTTTCGGAATGAGGGGGCCAAGATCGTTCCAAATTCAATTTTTCATGCAGTATGCAGAGCACTTTCGATAGAAAGTCGTCTACCTTTCCAAGACGTGGTCTTGCTGGCACTTCTTTTTTTGTATATATAGGGAATACTGTCGTGTCGATGTAGGCCCATCACAATATCTCAGAGTTCTCCTTAAATGCCTATTAATGGAGGAGTTTCAAAGAGTAGTCATTATGCTTGCGTTCTCGTGGGCTCCCACGCCCATGTGTGTGGGAGGTGTGCATAAAATAGGCCAGAGAAAGTAGGAAAGGAAACTTCTTTTCTCTCTTAACAGACGTGATAAAACCGATCAAAGATTCGGGTTGGACTTGTCATTGGACAATAAACTCACGTGGGACAGTTGTCTTTAAATAACGATACGTTTTTCATGGCGTTACTATTACATCGCCCATCCCTATCAGTGAATGAAAATTCCGCACAGCAACTTCCCAGGACCTGCAAGTGCGAGTCGCTCGTTCCATGAGGCTATCGGGCTCTCCAGATCAGCAGGAGCTGGGAGAGAAGGCTCTGAATGCGAGCAATCGAGCTTGACTTCGGAAAAGCGGGGTGCGGCTTCAACATTCGAGTGTTGAGTGTTGTATTCCCATATTGAAAACAGCTCGTAGTCAAGATGGTAGGGTTCCACATCGGCGTCTGACCCCACCCTGCCTTGAACTCTGCCACTGGCCTTGTTGGACTGGCCGGTGCGGAGAGGAAGACTTCCTTCCTTCGTCTGAGCGGAAACCGAGAGCGAATGGGGACAGGGTCTCGATCGCCCGTCCATTCGTCGACTTCCGGGGGGAGACTCCGGGGCATGGCCACGTCCATCCGTCTTCATCTCCGCGCCGAGTTTCATTCCCTGAGTTGATTTACCCGGCCATGAATTCTGAGCAGGTTGAGGTCGATGGGAGGTGAGGCGAGAAACACTTCGACTCTGGGATGCGCTTCGGCGACTTCAAAGAAACCCGCTTCAACGACTGCACCTAGTCGTTGACGTGTGGCTTATGTATGGCTAGTATGTCGATCTCTTTCGTAAAAAAGTAAAAGGTATTTTGTGATTCCAGTGTTCTTCCACTCTCCTCGATGGGATTCGCGCTTCGCGCGCAAATGAGTTGAATCTGGTGAACTTGAGAATAGATTAATGACCCGACCGGGGACGAAAAGTTTGCATGAGGACAGAACAGATCAGAGGAATATTTGAATCTCGTCCAATTCGTATTTTTGTCTCACACTGTCGTGGGTGATCAGTATTTTTTCATATTTTGATTTTCTCAGTTTCTTCAAGAAACAGTAAGATGCAGTGTAACATTTGAATGTGTGTCTATCAATTGATCCAATAGGATCACAGAAACCGAATCGAACGAAGAAGCCTTGGCAACAAGGCGTAGGTAGCACTTACTGACTCTAAACTCAACTCGACGCCTCGATTCGCGATAAAACTCGGATGAGAATCGATGCCCTGACGTACCTCAAAAGCCTGAGAATCCAATTATCTGCCGTATAGGAGAAGGAAAAATGATCCCTTCTCTTCCACTTCCCCCATTTCTCCAGGTTATCGAAAAAGAGTGAAATTCCCGTCACAAAGGTAGGCAGGAGGAAATCGAATGAATGCCATCACTTTTCCCAACCCCCCTTGGGACCCGAGAACGTTCGTCCTCCGTGCGGCTCCCGGCGCGACTGGCGTAACCCTCCGTGCAGGCGAAGGGGATGGAACCGTCTCTCGGGGATGCCCCGGGGCCTTCAGGCGTCAGTCGTGTCCGAGGAATATCCGGATTGGGATCTCGCTCGGGTATCGCTCAGCTTCACCGCTGGCGAGATATTGCAGAATTCGCAAGTTTAAAATGCACGAGGAAGATAAGTGCTCGCAAGACAGAAGATATCTCAATTCTGCTGGGTAATTTTCTCATTGCCATGCACGTGTAAGTGCATAGTAGAACCAGTTTGACTGGTTCGTAAGTCTTCCGTGTAATTTTCAGGGGTAAATATGTGAAATCATTCTCAACGCTCTTTAAATCCTTTCTGTACCTCACGTTACATTTGCACCGACGGTACGCCTAATTTTTTCCTGGCACAGTTGTCAAAGAAGCTTGGCAGGCACTGAAAATAGTTCTCCCGCATCGTAAGCGATTCAGGCCCGAATCGCACTGAAACTCCTTGCCAAGAAGGCGTGGTACCTCTGATCCCATTTTCCGCTTAGGACCGTAATGCAGACTGATAACAGTGCTCTCGGAATAAATTCATCCTTTGTCTGCTCTGCTTCCTTCAAATGTGCAGTAATTTCAGCCAAAAAGCATGGTATTATTCTTTTGCCTGATGGAAGTTTCAAAGAGTATTTCCCCGGGGATTGCGGCAACTACCTCGATAGACGTCTTCGAGGGAAGAATTCCGTCTCCAGTCGAGTGAGAGAAAGCGAGTCGACTCGCGAGTCGAGTGCACGACTCTATCAGCGGAATGGAGTCCTTGGACGAAGCGGTTGGAATGGCCACAGGACTGGTGTAATAAAAGAATATGTGTCATAAAGCTTCAGGGTTTGAAATCGGAGCTTTAGGCCTTTAAAGCCTTCGTCAAGGGTACTCGAAGAAATGATTGCTTGCTCCAAGGGCTTCATCCATACCTTCTCAGCTAACTCCGTGGAAATATGCAGTACTTTCTGCTATGCCTCCGGGTCAGCGATGGCTGGGGACTTCGATCCTGTCTTTCTTTTCTTTCCTCCTTGGCCTACAGCTTCCCCAGTTCAACTGTGAAGGAAGTCCTGCAATTCGCGACAATTTTTTTTTATGGAGGGCAATGTAATCACTGCTCTTTGCGGCTCTTCTCTTTTTTGAGACCATTTCAATTGCTTGTCAAGGATCAAAAGCCAATTTTGCTGAGCACGATTCACTGCCGAGGTCAAAGGCCTATGCGGTGATTCTGATTTAAAAGCTCATTCTCCTTGGAGTGGGTACCAAGGAAGCCATTCATTCGGAAATCAGTAAATCGTTCTTCAGCAGCAGACGACATTGATACGTCATCGATGACGTTTCCTTTATGTCTGCGCACTCGAAGGCAATGGCGGGCACGTTGCACGTTGCATCCACGTTGACTTAGTTTTTCAATTCAAATTCTCTAATATTGTCCCGAATAGTGGAGTAACCAGCATGGATTTAATAAAGACCATTGCAGACGATGAAGAAGTACCAGATTATGATCCTAGTTCGGACAGCGACGAGGAGGTGAGACTGGTTGGTTAATCCCTAACGTTAGCCTAAGTTAAGTCAACAACAATGATTTCATATCAAACAATTTAGTTTCAATATCGGGCTCAAGTGAATACCATTTCAGTTTATCACCAGGTAATGGGAGTTCGAGTTGACGACAGGCCTACACGATCATTCATACCAACTTATTGAGTATGTTAACTCTTTGAGGGTTGGGTTATTTAATGCCTACAAGATCCACCGTAGTGAATATGAAGACAGGATAGCATCATTCCTTAATACGGGCATACTCCTCAATGGATTAACTGGAAGCTAATGGGCTGAAAAGCCATAGTTTAATTGACTAGTAGGCTTAGGGTTCCCCAGGCAAAAAGAGGATGCCTAGCAGGCGGACAGAAATTTGAAGGCAAAAAAGGGAAAATATCTGGACACACAGTAACCCATAGGATGCCTTCCTCTTGGATGGAAAGGGAAGAAAGAGGACATGTCTGGGAAAAACTGGACTTATGGTAACCCTAAGTATTCTTTTTCCCTATTCTCCTATTCTTTTATCAGCTAGATCTGGAGTTGTTTCTGATGTCACCAGTTGTTGTTTGGATGGATTGCTTTTACATTCTAAAAGGTCTTGCATCTTCAGACTGGATTACTGACATTTTTAGTGTTGTTTACTTGAGTTTGTTTCATGTATTGTTTGATGAATGAAAAATTCCCTTGGATTCTTGAAGATTTCCCTTGGATTCATCCAAGGGAAAACTGTGGTTGGCTCAAATGAAATTGATAAAAAAGGGAGAACTTATACAGCTTTGTTGACTGATTTTATGGGTCTTCTCTCCCATGTCAGGTGGCTACACCCTCCTCAAAGAAGTCCAGTCAAGAGTTTGATCCAAACTTCGTCTTTCTAGAGAAGGCGTCGGATTATAATACAGATGTATGGCAGGACACAGTTGCATTATACAAGCAGCAGAAGCCCCGAGCTATTGATGAGAAGATACGCATGTTTCATGAAAAATTGAAGAAGGTGAGTTCATTGTTCTCCTTTCATGCAATGTGGCATGTTCATCTGATTAATCAAGTTTTTAGGATTGCATCAACTGATGTAGTTACTTTTTGTACTGTGGGATATTTTGATGATATGGTTATTTGTCCTGCAGTAGGACATTAAGCTTCAAAAGGTTTTCATCATATAGTCAGCGGTCCCTGGTTCATGCATGTGGGATGTGAGGGAGTTCTAACAATTGAATTACTCACATGCTTTCCACTAGTTTAGTATGGTGGTGCAGCTGGTAGCAATAGAGCAATTGTTGCTATTGAACAAGGAGGCATGACTCATGTCTTTGATTCTCAATTCTCCAAGACATTTCATAGCAAAAATACCAGGCCATAACAGATTTATAATGCTTGTTAGGATTCTTGCTTGAAAGTTAGTTCTATGAGAGATCATTGCAATAGATAGCCTATATCCTTGAGAGAACTTCTATGAAAGGCTTTCATGGAAGTCTGCTAAATCCCTGACTGAACTCACATGAGTATCCTCCTTTTGAGTATCCTTGCAAACTTACCTTGCAAGCAGAAAGTGTATTGACTTCTGTGGAATCAATGAATTGCCTTGTAGAAATCCTTCATTAAGATATTTTCCCTGAGAAAACTATAAGATGATCTTGCCTTTTTCTCTTACCATCAAAAATGTACATAAAGAGACCTCATAGCCTTCTAAATCAGGGCCTCAGTCACTTCACGTCTGTTCTGGTACCCCTTGGGGAGGTCAATTCCATACTTGACAGTAAAGGTCTCTGGCTCAGGCTGAACATCATAGAAACATTTATTACCTTCATCATTTTTCATTTCTGAATCCAATTGGCTGTAGAGTGTAAGTATATGCTTTGCCAAGATTGAGTCCAAAGAAAAAAAGAATCAATCCAGAAAATCTAAAATTTTTATTGTCATCAATTTTCATTCATGCTAACTATTGCATTCTAATACATAGAAAAGCCAAATTTTCTTCCTGAAGTTTAAATAACCACACCATTGTAACTTAGGCACTTTAAACTCCTAGGAATAAAATCATTTTTTATTTCTGTATCATAAAAATTTGTTAAATCTAGGGGTTCTACAGTATCTATAGTAGGTTTCAAGAGTAATAGGATACTTTTTTCGTATCATCCAATTCTTATGGAGCCATCAAGGGTAGATCTGTGTAAGAGAGAATGAGGGAAAATCTCTTCCCATCTTATTCTGAATGGACCTAGATATAGTGTGGTGAGGCCATTGAGAAGTGTTAGACTGTTACTTGGCTTAGTAGTATGGTAGTATTCTTCAAAGGGATTTTTCTTGCCTTAGAAATGAGTTGAATGAATTGAGTAATTGTTATGGATGTGCAAAGCAGATTCGCTATTTTCATTATATTTTGCATGACTTCACTACACGTATCCTCTCTCCAGTTTACCTGTAGTTACATCCTGTTTCATTTTCAATTGTAGTTTTGATGAGTGCTGTCATGTTTTTGCAGTTCCATTTCATTTTCTTTGAGAATAGGAAATGGCTTTCCTCTGAATAAGTGTTTATTGATCTTTTTTAGAAGAAAAATGAGGATGACCCAGAGCAGAAAGAAGATGATGTCAAGGATCTGGATTATAGTGATGATGACATGATCTGTGGAAATGTGTCTGGTAGGTTTTTATTAGGGCAGAGAAATGTGACAAAAATGGAACAAGGTTCCAGATCATAAGTTTAAATGGCTGCAGTTATTTTGCAAAGGCAAATAATTTTACTGAAGCATTGATTGAGAACAGGAAAAAAAAAAGAGAAAAAAAAAATGAAAAATAGCATTATAAGCATGGTGTTTTCATGATCCTGTATGCTAAGTAAATGTGGTTAGTTTATTTTTATCTTGTCCTTGTTTAGTTAGGAGGAATGTAACTGCTGGGGCCATATTGGTCTTAAGTCTTGTTCTCCCATGGTGGAGTGCTCACAGATACAGATTCTTGTCATGGAAGTCAGGTAATTATGAGGAAATTGCTAAGGAAAAATGCAGTGAATATTGTGATGTTCAATATCAAGAAATGGCAAATTTTTTTGTTTGAATATTGGTACAATTTATTTATAAAATTGGTGTGCTTGCCTTAATTTTTTTCTTATGTGCTGGAATGCTCAAGCTTCCTCTCCAGGACAGGTCCATATGAGTGTAATATGTGAAAGAGAAGACCTGGCAAATTGCATCGATGTTAAAAAAAAAGTAAAAAAAAAAAAACAGTCTGCATTGTAAAAAAAAAAGAGGGGGGAAGAAAATGTGTCTGCCGAGGTCTTTATAGGTCTTTCGAGGACACTTCTCAATGTCCAATGTAGCCATATTTTGGCAGCATGTATTATTAATCCATTATTTCATATGTGATGCTGACCTTTTTCCAGTAAAACAGATGACATATTCTGTCAGCTTTGGCATTTAATTAACCTCCAATGCATACTTTTCTAACTTTAACTTTGAATGACACATTATTTGATTTGCAAAATGTCGCCTCCTTTTCATTTGTAGACATGTTGAATGTGAAGCAAAAAAGAGGGAAAAAGAGAAAGAGAGGGGAGGACCCTGTTCCACCAATTTCTACCCAGTCAGATGACACACCCTCATTCCAACAGATGAATCTATCTCGCCCTCTGTTAAAGGTCACACTATCTGAATCAGGTGACACCATTCTGTCATTCCCACTCCCACTGGGTATAAAATGTTCCCCCATATTGAATTGCAGGCCATAACATCTATGAAGTTTGTGAATCCCACACCTATTCAGTCAGCCACTATTCCAGTGGCATTGCTTGGGAAGGATATCTATGCCTGTGCTGCTACTGGGACAGGAAAGACAGCTGCATACATGCTTCCAGTTCTGGAGAGACTGCTCTTCAAACCCTTTGTTGTGAGCCTTTTCGTTATGAAAGTTGTTTTTATGATGGGGCATATATCAAATTTACCCTTTCTTTTACTTATGCTCTTGTTTTCCCTGTAATAGACTCCTGTCACAAGGGTCTTGGTATTGGTTCCCACAAGAGAGTTGGGTGTTCAAGTCTTCCAAGTGTCTAGGCAACTGGCTCAGTTCACAAAAATCCAAATTGGGATCTCCGTTGGTGGACTGGATCTGAAGCAGCAGGTAGATGCCTGTGGCTATCACTAATGCATTTGTGAATTGCAAAAGCATGTCAGCTAAACATATTTTTGCCAGTCTGTTAATGATTTTGATTTCTGTTTCTCATCAGGAAGCCTCACTTCGGTCAAATCCTGATGTTGTGATTGCTACCCCAGGTCGTCTTATTGATCATATTCACAACACTCCCTCCTTTCATTTGGAAAGCATTGAAATCCTCATTCTTGATGAAGCAGACAGGTATTGGATAGCTCCCATAGCAGCAACCAATTGTGCTTTTCTGATTTTACTGCATATACTTTCTTTCCTCATTTTAGAATTATAAACCTTTAAAAACTGTCCTGTTATTTTTTTATTTGAAGCAGTTCTCCTATCCCTACTCACATTCAATTTTGTGGCTTGTATCTGTAATATCTTTGATATATGCAATGATATGAAAAAGAGTGAATATGCAACTTTGATAACTTTTGCAACAAAAATTTGCAATTGTTTCTGACTGAAGGATGATAATTTAAGAATGTCCACCTTCCTGATAGAGAACTGAGACTCTCAGTTTCATGGCAGAAATGTTGAGGATATTTCAATTTTCAGTTTGTAGTCCAGGATTGCAGATGAGTGAAATTCTAAATGTGCTTTCCTTAATTTTTTTCTTCAGGATTCTAGATGAGTACTTTGCAGAACAACTGAAGGAAATCATCAAACAGTGTAGTTATACAAGGCAAACCATGCTTTTCTCTGCAACCATGACAGAGAATGTAGAGGATCTTGCCTCAGTTTCATTGAAAAACCCTGTGAAACTGTTTGTTAACAGCAATGCAACAGTTGCCCAGAATCTGCATCAAGAATTCATAAAGTAAGTTTGATAAGGTACACTGTTTTTAAGTTTCTGAGATCAGAAAACCATACCCTCTGTTTTTTATTAGACATATTTCAAAGTTTGAACTGCAGTAGCAAAAGCTCTATTCTGTACTATTCTGAAGCTCGTCTGTTCATTCTCCTGAGTTTATGTATCATGTAAACATGCAAATTCATTGTCAATAGAGGGCTGCTGATGTTAACTATCGTGGCAAAATAAGTATTTCAAGTTATTTGTTGTTGCTGTTACCAAACTGCAGAACATAATGTTTTCCTTTCTAGGATTCGTAGTCAGCATGAGAAACATCGAGAGGCAATTGTTGCTGCCCTCCTACTTCGAACTTTCCATGATCATGTCATAGTGTTTGTCTCGACCAAGCGTCAAGCTCATCGTTTGCACGTTCTCCTTAGTATATTAGGGATTAAAGTAAGTTATCCTGTCCTTTTCTGAAAATTTCATGTACTTTGTAGAATTTAAAGGTTTCTTAATCTGCTGATGTCATGGATTGATATTTAGACTGGTGAACTGCATGGAAATCTGAGGCAGCCACAGAGATTAGAAATGTTGAGGAAATTCAAGGAAGAAGAATGTGATGTTCTGCTAGCAACAGATGTTGCTGCCAGAGGTTTAGATATTGAGGGAGTGCGAACGGTATGTTACCTTCTGACTGTGATTGTTAGTGCTTTCCAGCAGTGGTGACTTTTGCATATTTTTTTCTCATTTTCAAGGTGCTAAACTTTGCATTACCTGCCACCTATCAGCACTACATTCATCGGGTTGGTCGAACAGCTAGGGCTGGTCGGGCTGGACGATCTGTCTCCTTGGTGGGGGAAGCTGAGAGAAAACTCCTCAAATTAATAGTCAAGAATGCAAATGAACCTGTGAAGCAGAGAGTCATAGCACCAGGTAAAAGGAACTCAGTCTTCCTGGTAGTGGTAGCACTCTTTCCACCTCTTTTCTGCTCAAATATGAGCAGTCCTAATGATAGAATGTTGAGCATCTTTTTTCCTCTATCGTCCTATAGAGGTGATCCAAAAGTTTGCAGAGAAGATTGAAACCCTTGAGCCTATGTTTAAAAAAATTGTAGAAGATGAAGAGGCTGAGAAAGAACTGGCTGCAGCTGAGGGAATGGCAGAGAAGTGAGGAATGATTTTGATTCCATCTTTTCAGCTTCGAGTCTAGAGTTTTCAAGCCCATGAAAGGACTTGAAAAGCAATACTTTGATTCCTTTCATCCAGAAAATGTGTCTTGATATTGTAGAGCTACAAAGAAGCTGAAGTCTCCTGAAATGGCACAGCAGCAGAGAGAGTGGTTTCGAGAAAAGGGCTTTGGACCAGCCAGCAAGTCCAAAACTGGTTAGTTATTTTTGTATCAGCATTTAAGAAAAAATTATTTCTTGGTATTTTAGGTTGAAAGAACATGTATGCAAAAGGTAGAGATTATGCCTTGTTGCTGTCTTCTTGATGTGTATGGTTGAAGCTCTACATGCTTCATTTGCTTTGGTTGATGAAATATCAGTTGCCTCTTACTGGAATCAAAGGAGGAATGGAAATGAGATCTTGGATGGAAGTGTGCAGAGCTTATTGTTCATCGGGCAATAGAACAGCACTTGTCCAGCATGGAAGGGATTTGGGCCATCACCCATGCACTACTGTGCTCTATAGGCACATAGCAAGAGAGAATAGGAGGCATACCTGCCCAACCAATTGACTGTTTTTTGGCAATCTAGCTTGTTCTCTCTACTTCCTCTATGTAAACCTATTTGATCTATTAGTTTTATTTTCATGTAGGTGATCCTGTAAAAACTTTTAAAGAACCTAAATCATCTTATCATTACTGATCCAATGTGTGTCATGCTGTTGGTGTAGTATCCTCTTGGCCTGATTCTTTTGTCTGTAATGAGTGAGAGGGAGGATGTGTGAATTTTTAACTTGTGATATTGATAAAGTTTTCAATTTGGTCTTCATTTCTGGCTCAGGTCACATAACTCCCTTTAAACTCTTTAATGCTGCTAGTGTACAAATCGGCATCTAATAAAATTCCAGTCCCAATGCAACCTTGAAAATTTTCATGTCTTTCATTTTTTCATAGTACCTGGAAGATAAGATATATTGTGGATGCTAAGGAGATACTTGAATGATAGAGAAGAAGCATAGCTTGGCTTCCAACCCTGTATCTTCATTATACCAGTGTATTTTCTTATTGATGGATGTCAGTGCCACTTATTTTATGTGATGGGATTTTGATTAGATACAAAGGTGAAGAATCCCAAACATTTGAAGACAAAGAAGCAGAAGAAGGGGGAGACAAAAGAGGATATTGAGTTAAGGAAACTGGCTGATTACCAGACAAGGATTGCCAAACGCAAATGGAAAGATCAACGTGTTAGAAGTGTTCCTGAAGATCCTTCTGAACGTGAGTATTTGAAACCATTTCATTCTCTTCTTTGTATACCCAAGTGAGAAAAAAGAAGTAAAGCACTGTTGATCCCCAGTGAAAGGAGATGTTCAATTGAATACTTCAAAGTAATAAGCATGTAATCTTACCTGGTTTTTGCCCCAATTCTACTTTAGTGTTGCTGATTGTCCTAGTTCTTTTCATAAATCAAATAAGTATGAAGAAAATTCATTATGTTTCCAGATGGCATTAAAGCATTTATTACAAAGGTCATAGGAGTTTTGAGACCAACACAGTAGTCACCATGTGATGGCGGCAGCTTTTCTTGATTACTCTAGGCTAAAATTGAGCACCACCCTATAGAAAAAAAAACCGTCTTGTGAGATGAGTACCTTGGAATCCTTTCATCCATCATAGTCTGTCATGACTTTAATGTATCTTGCAGGACATGGTTTCACCAAGGGACTAGTTGATACATCCAGGAAGAATGTCAAGTTCCTTCGTCACAAGTGAGTTTTTTTTATGATGGTCTCCAGGTTTATCCCCCAAATGTTCACTAGTGAAGAAACAGATAAAGACAAATACTATTGAAAAATCAGGAGACTTAATCCTTGTGAAGTGTGAACTAGATGGAAGGTTGAAGGCTGTCCCCTAAAGACATAGTTGATTGGTGTGAGTTGGTTTCCAAAAATTATAGCTGCTTTAACTGAATTTCTCATCACTGAGAATTGAATGTAAGTGAAGGGATTTGAAAATATCCTTTCATGGATTTTCAAATGCTTTAATATCCTGTGTCAATCCAGTCATAACTGTAATTGAGAAATATTTAACTTTCCACACATATATTGGGAAGGTGGTGACTAAGGTGTTTGCTTGCTTCTTCAAACAAGTGTCTCAGATTTTCCACTTCTCCAAAATTGGAAGAAAGTAGGCTTGCTAAAATAAATTGAGATTAATCTGTTCTACAGGCTTGTTCCCTGTATCTCTGTATGGGTATTTGGTTATGCAGAGTGCTCAAAAAAAGCGCTTCGATGATTTGTGTAGGGGAGAGAGTCATTTGTATACTTCAAATCCTTGACAAAGCCAGGGACCAGAAATACTCAATATCACCTCCACCATTTTGAAAAATAGCTGCAAAATAAATAAAAAATCAAATTGATTCTGCACACAGCTTTATTCTGCAACTAACTAGAACAAATTTGAGGCACAATTATGTTTTCTCCTGCAATATTTATCCTTTCCCATTTCATTTCTTTGAGCAGGGCATTCCTCAGGATAACAGTAGCTGCTGCATGTGCTTTTTCTCCCTACTACTGACACCCACTTACTGCCAGGGGACAAACATTTTTTTTTTCTTCAGGGTTTTGTTATATTTCAACTCATGAGGTTTTCTGATCTTTCCTCCTAAGAAACTTATCAACTTGATTGTGTAAAATTTGTCCTATGCAGCTGGGAAATAGACAAATGAATTATAGCACAACATAATATTTTGATTCCCATTTATTTAAATTGCTAATACATGGGAAAATGCTCTTGGCCACAAATCTCAGATTTGTGCAGCGATCTGACATTCACAGGTTATCCAGAGAAGTGAATTCCCTTTCTGTTGGTTCAAGTGCCATATAAATATCAATGCTCTGGATGAGGCAAACCAGATCTCAAATTATTTCAGCTGCTCAAGTTTTTTTAACTGTGGGCAAAATGAACAATGACTTTCCCCCTGGGGCCACTAAATCATGGAAACCCTCACTTTAAGTTAACTAAGTCCTGGCAAGTTAAATTAGATCAATTAGCAATGGCAAGTAAACAAATACTTTTACTCACCTTGCTTATTTGTGCTAGATTTAATCCTTTATAGGGCAGAAAAACCAGCAATGGGAAAAAGTTTGGTTTGTATGATTTGGAACCAATAAAAACACTTGGATACTGTTTTAAACTCTTTAGATTTTATTTTTATAATTTTATACAAAATATATTGAGTGGCATTATAATTGCCACTGCTTTATAAAGGGTTAATTGAAGCTATCAAGTTGGAATTTCTATCACGCACCCCTGAGAATATTTAAATCTCACTGCAATCTGGATTTGGTTCACTGGCTCTAGTCTGAGCATCCCAGCTTTGGATTGAATTAGGCTGATAAGTCTCTAAGTGAACACTTAAGGGTAGTTCCTTCTTCCAATGGTTTTAAAAGCAATAACAGGGTCTTCACTCTTTTTTTTTCAGAGGAAAGCCACCCACAAAGAAGCAAAAAGGAAAACCAAGAAAGGGCATGAAGGGTAGATGAGGAAAATATGTCTCATCTTTTCCATGTGTACCTCTGTATCCATCATTGAACGTGTTTTCTTTGTTGAGTGTTTCAAATGAATGAAACTTGTTGGATTGTGAATATTCTGCCTATGGCTTTGTAATTCCTCAGTTCCATGTTTGTCACGTCAGGCTGATGTAGCGTTGAGCTCTCAGCTTCAGCAACTGCAGCTTGATTGACATTGATCTGTCTTTATCAGGTCTTGGGGATCAAATTTTGTTTTGGAAAATCTACATGATTAAGTATTTTTTCATGCACATATTGATGAAATTATGGAAATGTGCAATAATTTTGTTTCAAGTTCTGGAAAATATGGGCCTTTTCACAGGAAAATTTCCAGAGGTCTCAATCTAAATTTTCAGCTTGAATATGAAAACTTAGTAAGATTATTGTTTAAATCTTGTGTTGTTGACTACCCATCAAAAATTTTAAATGGCCCCAAATTTGATTGTGATTGCCTTTTAATGTTAATTATGTTAATGTTAATTACAAATATAGGGTGATTTTTAAAAAATGCTATACCATTTTCTATGGGAGAAACTATGGTTCATAAATGCAACCAAAAATGGTGACATTGGGTATGCAATCAATATTGGACAGTTACAAGGTGTTGAAATGCATGTCAGCTTTTTTCAACACCTCTGCTTAAGTTGTGCAATGCCCATTTAGAGGTGAATTTGAGGGTGCTTAGAGGTGGATCATTCCACCTTAGGTGAGGTAATGACCTGTGCTCATCCGTCTCAGAATTCAACATAATTTGGCAAACAGTTTGATTATTTTGAGAATAGCCCACATATGCAAACATATGTCTGTACTTCAAGCAGAGGCCAAGAAAATAGATTTTTAATTTGATGGAGTTGGGTGTTGGGGGCACAAAATGGCTCCCAACCCCCAGATGCTAAATTTCTGACTACATAGTTATTATAATATCACCACCTTATTTATAAAGAAGTCCTAGAGTGTGTAAGGTAAAATACCCAGTGATGGACTGGTCCCCAGTGATGGGCCACAGCACATAAAATTCTGACAGCTAAGCTTTCATAGCACATCTACCCCTGTTGTGGCTAGCAGCCATGCAAGCACATACACACTTCAAAGGTGTTCATGCTACAAATGCCTAATTATTGGAATTTTCCTGTACTGTAGCCCATCACTGAGTACATGCCCTTAACAGGCCTATCATTGGGTGTTTTACCCTATCTGTGGTAAAAATACAATTTGAACCTAGGATTTCTTTGTGGGTGTTACAAAGCATTAAACAGAATGTCTTTGGTTATTTGCACCCACCAATATATACTACCAGTATGTGGACAGTCCTGGAATAAAATCCCTTTCATCTTTTGGGATTGAGGAAGCATCCAGCCCCAAGAATGGAAGCCTTCAAAACACAGCTTCTTGGACTTGTAGCTCGCCATGAGAGTCTTTACACCATGCTCAGTGAGGTGAGTGAATAATCCTATCCATTTTTCTTCATGTTTCCCTCTGACATCTTCCAGTTGTCCATATTCTCTACAACCTGCAAAGCCACAAACTTTCTCCACAAACCTCTCAACTTTTGGAAGCTTACCTGGTCAAAACAGGATGACAAAAAGCATTACATGCTCTATGAAACCAGTCATCTAGAAATAATTAATGAAATATTTTTCTTGGCACTTGTAGAAATAATTTTTTTAAAGTATTGCAAATTTGGAGTCCTTAGTTGAAAGCTATGCTTTATTTTTATTTTTTGCATCATTCTTTAGATGGTAAAATTCATTACATGTTTACAACATTCAAAGATTTATTATATAGTTTTACATATTAAAATTAAGATTAAATATTTAAATATGAAATATTTAGATATTTATAAAGTATATGTGCTTGTTTAAATCTGATAAAACTTGAAGAATTTTAATACTGAAAGAAAAAAATACCTCTCCTTGCAAGTAAACAGTGAGAGAAAATAGGCCTTTGTATGAAAAATACATCCTGTAACAGAGCAGACCTGGAATTGGTGTGTTTACATGAACCCTAACTCAAAGTAGTGCCAGTTTTGGTTACTACGAGAGCTCCATAAGTGTGTTAATAGACTAGGTACTGGCAGTTTTTGATTCCCACCCATTTTTGAGTCTGAGTTCTAAGCTTGAAGTAGCTTGATCTGGCAATTGAGTGGACTGTTTAACCCTCTCCTGCAATAATTAAATGTGCCTTTTTACAGCATTTTGACCAATTTATTTCAGCAGAGAGTCAAATTTTGTTATTCCAACTTTAAAAAGTTGTATCTTCAAAACTACTGAGTGGAACTCCATGAAAATTTTCATAGATAATAAAAACTGGAACTCACCTAGAGGCTGTTATTTCACCATGCTTTTCTACACTATGTGTGGGAGAAAGTTAAAAGGTTAATATTTTCTGATGTCCCTAGCTTTTGAAAATTCAAGATAGTATTTAGTGATGATAATAGATATGAGATATTAGTGATGCCTGAAATGCCACCTGGCAATGACATTTGAGACTTTACTTATTCAAGGGGTTTTAGTTTTATTATGTATATTCAAGAATATAGATTTTTATTTACCATGTCATCACAAATTAGTCAGAATGGGAGAACTTGAATGTGCCATTCAAATGCAGGTGTCTAAGAGAGAAGCAGAGGAGGCAGAGGTCCCATGCAAGAAGTTAAAAATGGAGACTTCCAGTGAAGTTAATGCTAAAAATGCTATGGATTTGGCTGCCCTTCAAGATTTCACCACAATGAAAGAAGCTCTCCAGGCACTCCATCAGATGTGCAAGGATATGCATGAGAAAAAAGGCAATGCTAATGAAGCATTCTCCGTGTGCTCTCAGCTGGTAAAGCTACTGAAGGAAATGTCTAAGAAAGAAGCTGTTGTCACCATTCATCTGACAGAGCATCTTGAGAAAGTCAATATACTAGTGAGGATTCTCTTGGACTCATGTTCTCTTGGTGCCTCCAATTTTGCCAGATGTTAAATACTTCCTCCACTTTGGAATTTCTAGAGAAAAGCACCTCTACCAGTATTATGGCTGCTGGATACTCATGGAGTGGTTTACCTGGATCAATATTTAAACAAGTAGGTCCAACAAACCCTGAGATTCTTTATAGATTATCTTTGTAGATTGGCTGAATTTTGTATGAGTTAGGTTCTGTGATTTTAAACAGTTCACTTGTGCATTTTCTCCTTGTGTAGCAATTTAAGACTTTAAAATGTCCAGCTTGATAGCACATAAGGTCTTGAGATGAGATGCTGTTCCATCCTACTCTTGGAGGGGGATCATACATGAACTCAGCCAACCATTTCTTAAGAATTTCTATTATTGAACATGTATGTGCTATTTAGGTATGTGAGTGACAAAGAAGTCATTCAGGCATTCATTTCGGAGATGGCAAGTCATGTTCACCACGAGGATGGGTTCTCTCAGGCCGAAAGTATAGTGGCACATGTCTTAGCCTGCCTTCTCAACAATAGCCAAGGATCTTCCTCAACTAAAGTTGGAAAGCTGAGCCAGATCATCCTGGATTCTTTCACTCGAAGGCTCTTGGACAGACAAGATGCATTACCTGGAAGGGTATTTGAAAAGCTGAGGCACCACCCTTGTGTGCAAATGGAACATTTGAAGTCATTTTTTATGCATGAAGTCAGATTCATGGTCACCTACAAGCCCGGAACAAAAGCCTCTGTTGCCATCAAGGAGCAGGAAGAATGGAATAATCAGAATGGACAGAACAAGTGCAATCTCTCCCAGGAAATCTTCCAACAGGTGTTCCAATATATCAGTCTTTACTTGAGAATTTCCTTGCAGAAAATTATTCTTGAAGGCTCTATGATTTCTTCCTAGATTCTTCCTGTTTTTCATTCATCTGAGGTGGTTGATTGCCTGGAAAATGTGTTGGCCTATCAAGAGGTCAATTGGTTCACTCTATTCAGCCTTATTTCAGCCTATGTTAAGTGCTTTCAGAATGATGGAACTCCTCTCCAAGGTGAGACTGATGCCTTGTAATTTATTTGGTCACCAGATACTTGGCACATGTTGCATGCATATGTCTGATGCTCTAGCATTGATTCGGAAGCTACTGGAGGAAGGCTTCTCATCACTCAATGAGGAGAGCCTTTTAGCTGCATTTCTATTGGCACGGCAAGCAACATATTGTACTGTGAGTCACATTGCCTCCTATAAAGCATGGTTTCATTCTTTGTTTGGAGAAGGACAAGATTCTCTGACCAAGACAAAGCCAAAGTTCCTCTTTCTGGTGAAATTTCTCAGCAGTCTAGTTCCTCATGAGTAAGTTTTTTTATTATCTGTATGGGAAATGTGATCCTGATTCTGAGCCTTATGTTTAATGCTATGGTGTTGGTATCCTGTTTCCTACAGATCCTCCAGACATCTAAGGGCTCAGGTTGGAAAGAAGCCCTTCATTCCAAGTGGTTGTTATGATCAATGGCTTTTGTACTCCACACTTGTCAGGACACGTCTTGCAGAACTCAATGATTCTTCCCTTGAGAAGGGTATATATGAAGCACAACCTGTCGCCAGTGATGATCGTGAGGTACTGGCCCGGATTCACATGAAGTCCTCATCGAGCAGTAACAGATATTATTTTAAAATTATATCCATTTCAGCAGCGGGAAGAAACAGAAGACAGGGATGTTCATGCAGCTGTTGCATCATTTTCTAGAACAGGGAAGATTCCCATCAATGTTATGGAGGCATCGCTCTTCAAAAAGTCTTACTACTACAACAAGTTCCTTCCTGCTCTTCTCAGGCAGTGAGTGAGTGAGTGAGTGAGAGAAAAAGAGGGAGAGATTGTGTGTGCATGTTTATATATACATATGTACATGCATATGTATGTGAAACTTTCCTCATTAGGTTTTGGCATCACATCTATGCAAATGCTGAACTGATATGATTCCTTTTGCCATTAAATCCGCTTGTTTTATCTGTTATTTTCGAAGAGTTCATAGTTTTTATGGAAGACCATTAGTATGTTGCTTCTGTAACAGGCTGACTTCATATGAGGTGAGACAGATCTGAGCCATTTGCGTTAACAGTAATTTAGGACCTCCAGTTTTCCCATGTGTTGCAGTCACTTTTTTCCCCAAATTGTTTACTTTTCCTCCAGATAATTGTATCCGGGTATTTCTATACATGGTCATTTGTGCCATAAAGTAGTCATTTAATATTTTTCAAATGAAGTGTGCAGTTTGATGTAGTTTCAAGTTTGCATGTGGTCCTTCCCATTGGGAATTTTCATTCATTGGCGAGAAAATCAGGAGATAATTTCCTGCTAACAAGTTTTTTCATGCACTGGCTTGACTGATACATCCATTAGTTGCTTACCTTGCTACTAGGATTAAAGGAAGACTCACTGCTGCATCAGGGTGTGCCATTTCTTCCTCCTCGTGTACAGTATGAAAGCATGATGTTCACCATCAGCATCATTGTGTAGGGGCCGTGAAAATGGAGAAGGTCGGAGAAAATTTATAACTGCCTTGTTTGAAGCAAAGAAGATCCCTGATGCCATGTATCGAGAGTTCCTGTTGACTGCTAATGCACCCATGATTCCCTCATCTAGCATGGGTTAGTTGAATCCAGATCATGCTTGATTTTCCTTTCTTGTGAGCCGAGGTGGAAAAAGTTCTGCTTCCCGGTAACCATGGTTTACCTTCCCAATTTAGCAGGTGTGTGAAATGACACTGCGTTTGGGGGACTGAGTAGAGGCAAAAGGGGGGAAGGGGTGCTAGGCCAAAGATCAATTTAAAGTCACAACTAGGCATGATAACGTCTATATGCTCCTTGCAGGATCTAATGGGGATTGCGCAGAGGGGCATAGCTCCTCAGAAGCTCTTCCGCCATTAATTAAATGTGACCTTTTCTGGCATTTTAATCCATTATTTCAGCAGAGAGTCAAATTTTGTTATTCCGACCTTAAAAATTCGTATCTTCAAAACTACTGAGTGGGACTTCCATGAGTAGTACAGAGCTGTCATGCAGTCTGAAAGTATGGGTACGCTCTACTACGCTACGTGCGGGAGATATGTCATTTAAAAGGGTCTTTAGAGGTTTTTCTGCAGAGGAGCACTTCGATTGATACTTTCATTTCTGGATTGGAATACTGATTATATTGAGTTCATACTGGAAGGCTCCCCCTTCTGTTTATTAAGTCGGTGAACGACCTCTGAAACAGCACGTAACTTCAACTTGTATGCTTGCTGCGTTATTCGCAAGGAATGCGAAATGGTGGTGGAGTGCTTCAACTAGGAGGAATTTAAGCCCCTAAATCCTTTGGCTCAATTAGGGCACTTCGTCGATAGACATCAGCAGATATTATCTCGGTGACAGGATGCATACGAGTTGACAGGACACAAGAACTGCTACGAACGTGAGGCGCGGAACGAGATTGGACGGCGCTCTGATGGGGGATGGAGATCAATTTATTCTCACAACCTTGGGGTCTAATAAGGTCACTTGAAAAGGGACGCGAAGGGAACGTTTAATCTGTCAGCGGAAAGCCAGGTAACCCGAGGTCGTGCCGACTGATTGATTAAAGAGCAATGGAAGAGGTTTCCGAGGCGCAAGTCGCCGCCTAATTCTAATTCAGTGATGAGTATCTCTCACCTCGTGAAATGCGCAATCAAAATCATAATCCATTTTTTAAGCCGATGACAAACATTACGGTCAGGCAAATTTGACTGATGTCCCCAATAGTCACTTATCCGCGTTGGGATGAGATCCTACAACCCCAGAATCGAAGGAATGCACAAAGCCGAGACCTTTTCGCCTATACGCGCTCGGCACGAGAGAAAAAAATCCATATCCTCGTCCCTGAACATGAGACATCAGTCACTTGGAGATATCTTCCCGGTTCCGCTTGGAGGCTTCATCTTCCTGATGCCTCTTATCTTTTCGCAGGCAGTCGCCATTTACCTTCTTTCGCTCCATTTCAATCTCTCTCTCGTCTTTCCGCTCTTTCTTTTCGCATGATTTTATTCTTTCCCCCTCGCTTTTCTTCTCTCAGTTATTTACTTTTTTATCCCTGCCTTGCCTTCCCGATCGGTTGCTACCCTTCCCGGTAACCTGGTAAACAGGTTACCGAACTTTTTCCACCCCTGCTTGTCAGTAAGCATGTCTTTCAGTACTGAACTCAATTAGATTCCTTAGGTTATTCATCTCTTGGATAAGTTACATACATTCCCAGAATTCTTATAGACTGAAGCCGTTCTCTGCCATGCTTACTCCTTTAGCTGTGGGGATGAAGGGGTTTGACCTTTTGGAATCCAGTGATTCTTTGAGTGGAGAGGATGTTGCCAGTGGATTCACTCATATCTGCAAGGCCCTATCCTCTAGTGCGGCTTCCAGTGGACCGGATCAGAGCACTGCATCCAGCTATCCACCTCCACAGTCTGAGGTAGGAACCTTTTTCTCTCGCTATCCATACAGGAAGATGATGCTGAAGAGTTATGCTTGCAGGGTGTTATCATTGCAGGTGGTAGCAAGACTGCTGCAGTGTTATTTTCACTGCTTTGGAAAATACTCATCGTCTCTCTCCACTTGGTTTCCAAGCTTCCTATCCATATTTGCTGGAAGTTCACAGCTTCACTCTGCCATATATCACAACTTCCACCAGAAAGCAATGACATTCTCCCCAAAGGATGATGACATTGTGAGTGAGGGTGTGACAATCGTTGATGCCTTGTTTTTTTTTTTTATTGCAAAGCAATTCAACAGAAAGCAAACCAATCTTGAAAAATAACTGCTGGCCAGCTGATGGTTCATGAAACTACTCCTAACTATGGATAAACACTCCACATAATTCACAATATGTTCTCATCCTATCACTGGACATTTTCAGTGTACACATTTATGCATGAGCATTTAAATTCAGTGCTGACCCAATGGCAGGCCTGTTTTTTTTTTGCAAGGTTTTTGAAACCCCATACATTGGTAAGCCCAATATAGAAAACACTTCAGTATTCCATTGCAGTTTTATGTACAGTACAACTGAATTGATGTCTGAGGTTAGTTTTGTCATACCCTGTGTTCTTGGATTATCATGGAAATTTCCAAAGTGTACTGTTTTGATATTCATTTACATGTCAATTCATTTCTTGTTTTCCTGAATGGTTACTGTTAGGCAACAGCCATGGCATACTTCCTATGGAACATCCACTTCCAATATGACAGCAGGGAAGAGTCAGCTGTTTTGTCATTCCTTGATGAAATGGGAGGGAAATTTCCTACTGCAACAAAGCAGGATATGGAAGTAGTACTCATGTGCGTTCTATCATCACCATGTGATCAATATACTTGTTTCATCGTCCTGTAAGAAATGACTTGTGTCTCTTCCCTTGCAGGTTTATGAAGCACCTCCGTGAGACCTTTGATGATCTTGGAGTGTCAACTTTTGAGTCTGTAGATGATTACCTTCCCCATAGCCTGCTGAGGAAAGAAAACTTTGTCAAGTTGAGGTTTTTCCATGATTCTCACTCAGGATGTCACTTGAGAGAGCATCATGAAAGCTATGTACCAACAGCTAGCAAAGTGGGTAGTCTTTCTCATCAATTCTGTCTTACTTGCACAGTCTATATGTTGATTGTCCTCAATGCTCTGTGCAGATATCAGTTGAGGATTTAGTGGAATTGGAGCTCCAGGTCTCCTCCAAAGAAGACTGGTTCGTAAATCCTTTTGCCAGGCTGTCGTTCTTGGATGAATACATATCTGTGATGAAAAGGCAGTCACCAGGCAAAGACTTTCATGCTGTGATTTTGGAATGTCTTCTTCATGCTCACATGAAGGTGAAATGGGCATTTTTAAAGTGCATTCAAAAGAGAAATAAGTTACTGATGTGCCCAAGATTGGGTTTATGAAGAGCAATCTTATTCCCTTGCAGGGCTTATCTGGGTGTGATTCTCTTTTGGTGCTGCTGTTGTGGCTGAATAGGATGCTGAATCCTAATGATTCACCTGGACTGTTGAAAATTTGGGAGAAGGTCTCAAGAATGTACCATGGGACAGCAAACAGAGCTTCCCTTGACCAGGCATTTTTGAGGTGGTGTTGGAGCTCTGTCTTTGAAAAAACCTTTCTGAAGGCATTCCCCATCTCCCCTTAATTATACTTTATTGGAAACTTCAATGTCTTCTGCCAGGTTGTACCTTTCACTACCTTCATGGATCCTTCTCCAAGCAGACGGTGATCAAGATACCCAGGTGCAAGAATTATGTGCTGCCATAAAAGATTCATGGGTAAGATGACATGGGTAAGATGTACAGCATGAAGATTCCTTTAAAAGACTCTCAAGAATAATTTTTTTTCTTAAAGTTACCCATATCTTGCCTGATCCATGATGACCAGCCTCCCCCCCAAAACAAATGTTTCTGTATTTGTGATTATCTGATAGAGAAAAAAATTGTATGCGGGTCATCTCTTATGTATCTCTGGGTATGTCTGATGGAATATTTTCCATGTGTCAAACATGACTGGTGTTCCTGAATAACCTTAACAGGTTGACCACCATGGGGCACACTGGTGCACCTCACTAAGTCCCTTTTCCTGCACCATCGGGTGCACTGGTGCACCCCATGTTTCACCTTCTCCTAGGGATGTAAACATTTATTTCAGCCCAGGAAAGTCATCAGGCCAATATGGCCATGGCGGTCAACATGTTAAGTATACTACACACTACACCTCCCACAATTATTGTTGACATTTTTGGGATTAGAACAGGAGGATCCGCTTTCTTGTTCTCTTTCTTTTTCATAGAGACATTCTTTGCCAGAGGAAAGCATCTTCTTTTCCATCTCTTTTGTGTCACATTTGCTCCGGGGGATGTCCTTTCAAGGATTCCCACTGATCCCAATCCTTAACAGTTGCTCTGCCCTGCTGAACTCCATCAAGGTTAGACCCACACCTCTTGTTTTAAGGAATGCCCATGAGATGTAAAGGAAAGCAAGCAATATTCAGTGCCAATATCATGAAAACTGAAAATTGAGGAGCCATGATCTTTGAGCATTGTATCTGTGTTGCAGGTTGTTCATCTGAGTATTGTTGTTCACAGTAATTTCCAGTTTATAATGGTTACTTAGTATTAGTGTCAAGTGTATTTAGTATATCTCATTGTTGCTTGTCCTATGAAGCATCCTATCTTAAGTTTGTATTAAAATAAAGGTCAAAGGGTTTGACCTTTGACCTTTACTTTCAAGAAATTTCCAATTTGGGACTATCATGAGATAAAAAGGTACAGGCAATAATGTGGCAGTTAGTGGAGAAAAAAAATCTGCAGAGACTGCACTAGAAATGGGTCTCATTGGCCTCAAGGTTTGACAGCAAATTCTATGCAGCTGTCCTGTTGGCTGACTTGCTATTCACAAACTATTCAACTCATTGAATTTTCAATTCGTCAAACGATGATTCCTCTACTTGCAATTCACCAATTGCTCAACTCAAATGCTTAACTCCTTGAATTATATCCTCCTGAGTAAAACTCACCATATATTCAACTCACTAACTTGATGAAATTGCAAATGACTTTTTCAAGTACATGGTTGCTGAATTTATTCACAAAACGTCTTACTAGGGCCCTTTAGCTCATGAAGACTCAGGTGAAAAATTCTAATTCCATCATACTGAGATCAACAGAAATAATTTCTGCCTCCCTCTGAGGTCAATAATGAAGTTCTGCAAGTTAAGCATCCATGTTGAACAAGCAGTGAATTGCGAGTCGATGAATCGTCATTCAACGAATTGAAAATTTGATAAGTTGGTGAATTGTGAATCGGCTAAATTAGCTTTCGATGAGTTGTTGTTGGCAGGATGATAGGGAACCAAGAGTTCCATGGTTGGAACATCTTGAGTTCAGAAGAGTTAAAAAGTACCTCATAAGCTGTAAAACATCCTCTGGAACCATTTCTTAATCTTAGCAAAAGTCCCTAATAGAAATCAAGGGAAGAGTATATTTTGGGTAATCTTGTGTGTCAGTTATCAATGAAGTGACAATGGAAATTTCTGCAGGGTGTCTTCGACTTAATAATTATTTTTCAACTTTTAGGAGTTCTCCTAATATTGAATACTTATTCAATGCATATATGGCATAAACATTTATTTGTGCTCAGTTTATTCCAAGTCAAAGTATTGGTAATGCAAGCCATGCATCACTTATACAGACAATGAATTTTGTATTGTTTAATTTATAGGTACATTGGGATGCAGTACATCAGGATGTCCAAAGGTTTTCTCAAGAAGCGGATGTTAAGCATCTAATAGCATGTATGACATGTGCTCAAAGGTGTGTTGAAACTACTGTTGCCTCTACTTCTGGTGCAGTTGATCCATGCAGCATGGCACTGCTGCTCCTAGAATCTCAGGAATCCCCACCTCATGCAACGCTGAAAGTTACGTCATTCTTAGTCTTCTTCTCCATCGGCAAATTATGTTCCCAATCTGGCATTATCCAGTGGATCACATCTGATGAACTGGGGCAGCAAATTCCCCCTCAAGTGGACAAAATTATCCATTTGGTACAAAGTGATCCAGACTCTTCTCTGTATTTGGATGCCGGTGTTGGACACCCTACGTTCAATGACTCCTTTCCCAGTAGTGCTGCTAAATTTGCTCCCATTCTGTCTTGCATAGTTTGTGTCGAAGCCTGCAGAATGCAAGTCTCCAACAGACCACTGCTTGCTGCACTGTCAAACTATAAGACCATCTGTAGTGCTGTCATAGGGAAGTGTCACTTGCAGGTGTCATCTCATCTCCTGCGAAGGCTTAGCCACGTGATTTCACTGGCACCATCCATCCTCCTTCGGGACATTCCCGATTCATATGTTAGAAACTTGGATGAAGAAGTGCAGAATATGATTCGTGTCAAGCTGTCGTGATCAACGGTGGTATTTTATTATATGGTAAACAGTCACAACGTATGATGTGACTGTATGGTGGGATAGCAGTCCCAATAATATTGGCACGATTCTTTTGTTATCTCATCATTTGACTTTTATTCCAGTTGTAAAATAATTTCATAATAGATGTGCTTTGACTTGTTGATGATCAGCAGCACAATCACTTCATTTTGTCATTCTAAAATAGCTACAATACAATACAGCTACAATAGTAGTTGAAATTGCATGTGTAGAATCGAGGACTTCACAACGTTGTCTGTCTAAAATAATAGCTACTATACAGTACAGCTACAATAGTAGTTGCAATTTCATATATAGATTTGAGAACATCAACAATTTGAGCTGTTAAGAAAACTCTTTCACAAGCAGTGTCAGAGAAATCCCGCTCATTTAGAAAGAGGAATTCTCATCTTTTACCAAATTCGTGAAGAAAAGTTGTTACTTTTACTTCCTCCGTCTCTACAAACGATATTATGAGCTAAATGTCATTCACGATATTGAGTAAATATCTCTGAGGTGCAAGATCACAAGTGCCACAGGTTTTCTAGCAAGGAGGAATATTGCTCGGAGAGGGATGCATACAATAAACTCACGAGAAAAAAAAAAACAAAAGAATGGAAACAAAGAGAACCCTTCCTAGAAAACCTGCAACCTGACGCCCGAAGTAGCCCAGAGCCAATCGAGTGGAAAATAATGATATGGAGAATAAAACGAAGAGAATAATTAATCGAAACTATGTCAGAGGTGCCTTCGTTACATAGGTTGAAATTACATATGAAGTGTTCCGGGCGGTCGCGAATCAAGCGCATTCTCGAACCGTCCTCCCGCACAGAGGCATGGGGGGACGAAAGTTCCGCAAGACTCTCCCCTCGAATTCGTCATGCGAGCATTCCTCTCCGGCGGCTTGGGACTTCATCGCTCGAAATGCGGAGAGCTGAAAGGGAAAGGGCAGGAGTCGGGTTCTCGACGTTCGGCGGTTTCACTGAGGATTTCCGCGAGAAAATGCCAAGGCATGATTGTAGCCCTCACCTGTTCAGAGGAGGCCGTGATGGGGTTTTTGAACAAGATCCAGTTCACAGTTTCTGAGCACGGCGGAGTCGTCAGAGATCCCTCGTACGTCCAGTATTGACCACCTGAGAGAACGAGACCCCATTGTCAACGACTCTTAAGCGTAATTCCCAAGGGCGAGGACTAGTAAGATGAAAGTGCACTCTAGAAATAAAAAAAACTAGCGATAACTCCAGTTTTCCTCTCTTTTTGCGTATTTTTTCTTCCATTTTTAATCTGGAAAAGCAAAAGAGGAGAAAATAGAAAAAAAGTTTCCTCATTCCCTCTTCTGAGCTAAAAGGGTGCTCTCTTATTTATAAGAGTGCGGGGGCTCACCAGGGAGAAAGTTGCTAGGATTCACTGGCTCGAGATCAGTGGTGTCTCCTTTATGAGGGATGGAGTCCAGAATTTGGATGATTTTCGCGAATTCCGAATTCTCGTCTCCGACTTCGACGAAAACACCGAGAACGGTGAGGCCGCCTTCGGCGCCGGCCGCTTCGGCGAAGCTGCCGAACTTGTCACTGTCCCAGTGCACCAAGTGGATCTAAATACGAGGGGGGGGGGGGGGAAAAAATTGTCACGAAGTTGATTTTTCTTCTCGCCTTTCACACGGCGTCGAAATCTGGGTACGGAATAAAGGGGGTTCCCTGAATGTATCAAAACCGGTTTCTTTTTTTTTTCCATCCGAGAAGCGCTGCGCTTTGACAAACACGACCCCTGATATTCCGTACCGTCCCGTATCTCGCAGTACTTCGCCTTACTGCTCTCAACACTTTCAGTCCCGAGGATTCGAAAGCACCACACCCGTCACATGACGAGGCACGGGACCGAAAGCGTCCAAGCGCCCCGAGGAAGAATCCTTCAACGCTCACCTCGCAGGGATAGGCTTTCCCCTCGACCCTATGCTCCGACCCTTCCGCGTCGTGCTTCCCCCAATGAGCGTGGATCTGTTCGAGCTTGAAGGTGCTGTTCAGTGGTCCTCCTTGCACCTCGCCTAGAAGGGATCGCAGATTAGTGGAGGGCCGACCCACGACTGAGGTCAACAAAACCATGCACTGGGATTTCAGGCTATTCCACAGCTATTAACGTCTGACGTGCCGTCATATTCTCGAACATTTTTAGAATAAACCGGGTAATTCCGTTCCAGGTCCTCTGGGAAGCCACTTGCATTTTTCCAGTATATTTCCCATATGAACATTTAGGGTGACATGCACCGGATCCGTTTAAGCTAAACTAATCCGGTCTCATAATGGTCCCCTGTGTTCCCATAGGGGACCATTATGAGACCGGATTAGTTTAACAGAGATAAACTTATTCCCATAGACGCCCGTTATGAAAACGAATCAGTTTAAAGTTAAACGAATTGGTGCATGTCACCCTTAAACATGTTCTTGTTACATAGCAGTCGAAATCGATCCAATACGGATCTTCTCGGTCGTCATGAATGTTTGGGAGTGGATCGACCGTAGATGATTCGTGCCGTCTCGAGGGTTGCTCTACCGAGTGCTCAATATTTACCAGGGTGACACGGGGCAATTTGCCCAGGGATCACGGAAAAGATCACTCTTCTGGTATCTTCGCGGGGTCCTCGAGATTATATCGTTATCGATGCATGCCTGGGTGAATCACCGAGAGGATAGCGAACAGTTAAACTCGGAGATAAAGGCGCATTCCGCATGACCCCGGAACTGTCGACGATGAGAGAACCCGTCAACCATTGCATAAAAAGGATGCAAAAAAAGGAAAGCCACCTGGCATTCCAGCTTCCCGGAAACGAGATCCCTGGCACAAACCTCATATCGCACGGTTCCCTTGCCAACGCCTGTACAGACGTTGCTACGCGTCCCTTTAAACGATCCCTTTAAACGACAGGTAGGAAAGACGAACCGGGATCTGTCGTTCCGATGAGTAGCTTCCATCCTTGTCCCGTGTTGGTCACACGAGTACAGGCATCGGAACGGTAATGGTAGGAGAGAGGCGCTATTTCCCCTGCTTGCTCTGCCTTCTCGGGTACCAAATCGATTGGGGACTGCTTCTGGCCGCCGGCAGCCGGGTAGTAAACCGACCACGTATGCGGTCCTGCAACAACAATTCAACGTTTCTTAACCATCATTGTTCAGAGCCCTTCTTCATATTATGAGGCGTGTGCCTACTCCCACTCCGCCAATTGTTTTTCTCGATGGACTTGCGAATAGTCAAACTACTCCCATTCTCCCTATTTCACCAAATTCTTTCCCCCCCCCCCCCTCATTAAATTAACATTTTCATCAGCACTTTCACATCCAGATCACCCCAAAACTAATTGGTTTCCTCTTTTGGCGTTTCGCGATCGTAACCGGTCAGGACCTATGGAGTGTATCATCCGCATATCTACCTGCATTTTAGCGAGCACTCAGGTTACGATCTCAAAACGTAGTTCCGGCTTCGTTTCCGAGATGGCACACGGACGGAAACCGCTCAGCCGGAACCGACCAGGGCGACGAGGGGAGATACACGGATCATATAGATAAAATGAGGAGGCTGTAAAGAGGAAGCGCGAGGAGCCCCCATGCAGCTCCTCCCTATTTTCCCTCCGCGGATCCGCCGGGTAACTCGTAAAAGTACGCTTTGAATGTTTCCACGAGCGAAAAGCTCGCTCGCTGCGTTTCCACACGGCTGAGCCTGCTCAAAAAGGTTCTGTCGGAATCGCTCGCGAGCTCCGGTGAAGCTCGGTTGTGACAAGAGCGGACACCGTGACGGATTGCTTGCCTAAAAGGAAGAGCTGTCAGGTTTTAATGGCTTTTTCACAGTAGGCGTGTTTCTGCTCCAAAAGAGGTCGAAGACGATGTCACTGGTTTTAATTACGTGGATAGAATCTTAGCAGGGTGGGTCGATTTTAACCCGTTTTCCCATTACTCGTTCTTTCTTCTTTTTTTTTTTTCCTCGTACGATGTTAACCTGGAAAAAAAACCAGTTGTGCAAACAAGGCCTGTCGCTCTGAAGATTGGGTCTCGAACATCTTTCTTTTTTTTCGAAATAGACAGAGGCATTCACGTTGGCATAACGCAATAACCCAGCCCCTGTAGCACAACGGGAAGAAGCAAAGACCGGAATTTTTCCATTTTGAGGGATGATGAGGATTTCGCCCGTCCTTTCTTCTCTCGTTATTTACGGAGGAATAATATGTTCATTGTTCCTTCATGCCCCCCTTTTGGTCTGTTCCCCGTCGCTCCCGTGTTCCATTCATCCGGAACAAATCTGCTCCTGACGAGTTCCGGAGTCGTCAGATTGCGACAGGTGAAGCTAACCGATGAGAAAATTGATCCGAATGGCATCTGTTGTTTGGATAGTTTTTTTTTTCTTCCGTCACATGCAAAACGTTTGTGCATTGCTTCGCCCGTGCCGTCAAAGTCGACGAGACGCGAAACGACACGGCGACGCAACGACACCGCTCCGTGTCGCCACCAAGGTCGCACATCGCACTGCAATGCGATATCCGCGATACGAAGAGAAGAACGCCCGAGGAAAAAGGCGCAGACGCCACTGGATCATCGGATTTGGCACCAAGCCATAGGGAATTCGAGATGTGGCCCGGCTGTGTTCCCTTCCGAACTAATTCTATCGAATCGATTCTGCTCGCTGCACCTCCTGCCCAGTCTCGAGCTAACGAGCAGACCGGAGTCGCTCTCTTCCAGCCGCACCGTGCCAAGGTAAAGGCGCTCGTTACGATGATGGAAGACGAGAGGACGGGAGAAGGAAGGGCAAAAGGACGGACGGAGAGAAGGCAGGAGGGCAAGAGGCGAGCAGCCAGACCTCCCGCCGTAATTTTTCACCCGATATGACGAACGGCTGCGACCGCGAGCGACTGCGAGCAGATGACTGCCTGGAGGCGATCCGAGACGGAGGAAGAAAGTGGACGGAGGAGATAGGAAAAAAAAGCGGAGGGAGGAAGAAAGCGGAGGGAGGAAGAAAGCGGAGGGAGGAAGAAAGCGGAGGGAGAAGGGGTGACGGTCGATGTGGGGCGTCGTCGAGGCCTGTTTCCTGCCGTTTCTGCTGCTCGCGTTTTTCCGCCACTTCTAACCCACATGGGTTAGAAGCTTCCGAAAAAAAAAGGATCCACAGTTTCGCCTCGATGATTGCCCTTGTCGGAGAGTGAGAGGGAAATGCTGCCGAAACGACCCCGGGGTGCAACCCCTCGGATCCAAATTCTAGCCGGCTCCCTATCATCAGGGAGAAACGGACGAGATCCGACGAGAAAAACGAGCGCCTCAACACTAGAATTACCGGAGCGGTCATTTCGACCGCCATCGAGAAATCAATGTGCTTGGCTTTTGTTTAAGCTGCTGCGAGTCTGCGTCCGACCTGCCGCGAAAACGTGCCCTTTGCTCGAGGCCGAACTTCAGGCACAACGTCTTGTGTGGGCTACGGTAGGATGCTTTTCCGGACGCGTTGAGATGAATTTTCCCCGCAACTCATCTGCTGCATCTGTATCCGTGTATCTGCTGTGAAAATTTCGTGCAGCGGCGATGAACAGACCGAGAAACGAACGCGACACCGCACTGCAGCGCTTGCAGCCATCGCAGGACTCACCCGAAGCCGAATCCCGAAACTAAAAAAAAAAAGAGATGATGCTGAAAATGATCGCGACGAGGGGAACAAGACGCATCACAGCTGTGCCGCGAGTGCTGTGCACACGTGTAGAGTAAGTATAATGCCCATGTTGATTCCATGAACACAACTCAAAACAAAACAAATTAAATGTTACAGAACGATGCTTTAATACGATTGTTAAAATAGCGGTCAAAACGACCGCTCCGGTACTTCTAGGTACATACGTACCCTCGGTACTTCTAGGTACATACGCACCCTCGGTACTTCTAGGTACATACGCACCCTCGGTACTTCTAGGTACATACGCACCCTCGGTGCTTCTAGGTACATACGCACCCTCGGTACTTCTAGGTACATACGTACCCTCGGCACTTCTAGCGTTAAGGGCGGGTTCGCTCACGGAGTTACTCGCGTGAGAGACCCGTTCCAGGCGAAACCTATACGTCCGTGCGAGCGCTTTCGACCAAGCTATTTCATGCTCTCTTGCTCGCCGCTCTCGCGCGAAGGAAATTGCTCGCGCTCGCGCGCGCGGACCGGGGAAGCGAGCCGTGGACTCACCCGTGGTCTTCGTGTAGCCCCAGACCGGCATGCTGCTCTGACTTCTCCTAAACAGACAGAAAATTTCTCTGTAGATTCGCTTCACTTTCGCACGACACAGGAATATAGGGTCTCAGAAAAACACAAACAAAAAAAACAAACAAAACAAATATTGAAAAGCATCACGAAACATCTGAATCGGGGAAAAGACGAAATGCGAAGCCCTCACTTTTTTACGACGGCACCCCCCATTGACAGAAAAGCGAAGCGTACGGTCGAAACGAGTGAACGAGTAAGACTGCGCTAGGGTTGGCCACAGTGTACCACAGTTACCTGAGCACAGTTACTGACGATTGATCGAAAGGGGGGGGGGGGGGGGGGGGGAGAAAGTATGTTGCAAGGTGCCTGAGATCGGATGGGCACTGGAGCGCGCGCGGGGCAGCTCACGATGGGATGCTCGGCGCAGGAGGGACTGGCGGAGCCCGGGCTGTCGCGCCTCGAAGTGGAGGGCGGTGGAGGGCTCGCGGCCGGCCGGAGTCGCTTGGAAAAGTCGAGATTTTCGTCACTCGTCCTCCTTCTCCTCCTCCTCCTCCTTCTCCCTTTTTCATCGATGCTATCGCTCCCTGCCTTGCTCAATTCGGTTACGCTTGCGAGATGCGGCGGATCTGGGTTGAGCCCGGCCGCGGGGACGCGATTATGTCGGTGGCCTCGTCGCGAAATGTTGCCTCCGATCCCGGTCCGGATCCCGCGGTCACGTGAAGAGGAGGGGGGGGGGGCGAGGAAGACGCTCGCACGTGCCGGGGCCCTGAGGTTCCTCTAGGGCTGCCAAATCGATGAGGATAAGTGATTTATCACGGTCGAAAAGAGTGGATCTCGAAATATCCTTCGTCTATATATCACGAGAGATGAAAATTGTATTACCAGTTCCTCGTAGCCAGTTGGAAAAAAAAAAGAATATTTGAATATTATCGGCGCGAGGTATCACGAAGTCCTGCACGACGCTCTCGTGTGCCATTCAGAACTTCGTATCTCTCGCTGAGGTTAGAACGGAATTCATGGCTCGATTAAATTTAATTAATCGGATTCAATCCTCTAGGTCACGCTCATCTTAGCATGTGGCCTTAATTGCTTCAAGTCGGCTTTAGGGCATGCGAGCAGGGGCAGAGGTGCCTGTCAATGATCTCGAAAGCCACACAGCTTAACGGAGAGCCTGCCTCACGAGAGCCGGCTTTGCGAGAGCCTGCTTTGCAGGAGCCGACTTCCGTTTGGATGTTGTGCCGCGTTCCGTCACGGGGACTTGGAACTGTGCACATTTTCACGATTCATTTTGGGAACGCCAGGTTTGCTTTAAATACGCACTGGCCGCAATCGAGATTGCGACATCGAGGAGATGAGATTCGGCGCACGAATTCGTGGCTGCTTGTCGTGAAATCGATTTTGAGTTTCAAGGGCGACGGACGATTCTTCGCGGAGAAAAGTGCCCAAACTTGCAGATCCTAATCGCGCTCAGCAAACAATTTGGAAGAGTTCATTAGTCAAATGAGGCGCGTCTCTCGCGACGGCGTACAAAAAAATGGAGAAGAGCTTCGAGGTGATCGAACGAAGAAAAATCGCCGAACGCGTCCGGCATAAGCGCGCATCCCATTAACCGAAATCGATTAATAGCCCGAGCAAAAAAAAAAAAAAAGTTGGGGCGAAAGCGCCTCCAGAGACGTCAGCTCGGCACGGCTCCAAAAGCAAACACTCAAAGAGTGGCGCAATGGAAGCGGCTCGAAGTGGCTCGAAGGGAAGAGACGGGAAGGCAACCTCCTTTCCTCCTCCTCCTCTACTCCCCCCATTCATAAGTATCGTGCTACGACCCTAGAGGGAAGAGGGGGAGCAACCTCCCCTCTTTCCCCATTCATGAGTATGATCGCCTCGTTGCACGACCCCGAACCCGCGAATTTCCGATCGGCGTCGTCCCCACTCATTACGTTCGGCCGCTTATCTCGGCGAGGACTCGCTCTCCCGACCGAGTTCGCGACACAATGCTGCGAGTCCGAGAGGCAATTTCGATCGAGAGCGCTCTTCGCGCTGCAATTCCAAGTTCGATCCAATTTTTTTTTTTATGAGATACCAGGAGTTTCCTGAAATCGCTTTCACGAATGCGTTTACACGCTCGACCCTCTCCGGTCCCACCGCCGGTTCCAATTTCCGTGCCCTATCGCCGAAAAGGGTGTGGCTGAAACCCCGGCAATAAAGCTACGCGCCTCCTAAATCTCACCCAGAGAATGAATCTCTTCGCCTCATCGTCGGAGAGCCCGTTGTAAACCTGATGTATATCCCCCTTGCCTCGAGATACCGAAGAGACCCGTCAATCTCTAGTACCCGTGGGGCCAATTATGGGGGGGGGGACTCATTGATTTTCGATACTGTTGGTACACTAGCGGGGTGCCCCGCGTTACGGAGTCGAAGGAATCCCCCCCACCCATCCGAAACCCCGCCCGTAACGACCGGCCCGGAACCGGCTCCCGAGCCCCCAGCACCACGCGACGAGGACGGAACGATGTGGCAGTACCCGCGCCTGCCGCCAGAGTGCGCCGCGCCTCTCTGAGCTGCGACCTCTTGGGCGACCCCGTGGACGACCGAGGTCGATGGGGGCTTGCCGCGGCGGTGACGCGATGGCTTCATGGAGTTTCACGCGATTCTCGGCGGGATGTGGGTCGTCGCGGAGACGAGGAAAGGACAGACGTTGCTGCGATACCCCCGAGAATGCGGGAAAACTCGTTCGGTTGCTCCAGAAAAGAATCCTTTAAGCATTTTACGACATTCAGGGTTGGACTGGCCCACCGGGATACCAGGAAATTTCCCAGGGGGGCCCCTAGGCCGCCAGTCCGACCCTGACGACATTTCTTACGTGATCTGCCGTCGCGAAAGACTGACAGGCGCTTCCGCGTTACTTCAGGCCCTTTCTTTGCCGATCCTGTCTTTTTTTTTCCCACCCATCTCTAGACGAAACGCCTCGGCGTCGCAGAAGCGAAGCGGCACTTGCCTCGTTCCGTCTCTCCTTTCGTCCTCGCTGCAGACCGAACGAATCGTGTGAAATCATGTCGTTTTTCCATAACGATTACTCAAAATTGCAATAATACAGGGTGTATTTTTATTAGCGCAACCCACGGAAAACGGCATAAAACTTCCTGCCTAATAAAGCTAGCAAGCTCTCCTTTAGCCGCGAAACGGTGCGAGTGTCGTTTCGGCAAGACTTCGAGAAACCCCCAAAAAGAACGTAATCGCGCGGTGTGAAATCCGGAGATCTTGCTGGCCACAGGTCAGCACAGAACGACTGAAAGGGCTCCGTGCCCCTCTCTGAAGTGGGGCATCTGGAAGGGCATCTTTCCGGAAGTGACCTTGGGTGAGTTCAATGTCTTCGAACTTACTGTCGAATTCATTGAAACTGGAAAAATCAAATCATCTGCAATGGGGTTACTGGAAGGAAACTATTTACCGCAAAAAAAAAAGAATCCTCACACCATTCTGCAGCAAAAGAAGATTAAAAACAGCATTAAGCAGCATTCGCTACGTTCCTGTTGATGTTCTACGCCGTGCTTGCGAAGACTTGCAGCGTCGTCTTCAATTATGCATGGGGAACGAGAGGATCGACTCCAGCATCTGCTGCAATAAAAGTGAGTCTTGCATGGTTGGGAAATGGGAAATGCATGGGTTCGTGTCAAATTTTCAACTTGCTAGCTTTCTTAGGTAGGAAGTTATGCCATTCTTCGTGGGCTGCGCTAATAAAAAAACACCCTGTATTAATTGCAATTTTGCGTGCAAAATCGTTCCACGCCGAGTAATGAAAGAAACGAGGCAATTACTCCTCGTCGAGGCATTTCGATTTCGAGCGTGGCGATGCTCACCTTCAAGGGTGAGTGATTACCTTTCTGCTGCGAACGTTCGACTCGAATTCCTCGATCGCTCGAGAACGGGTTGAGACGCTCTCGTGCCACGAAACCGCGAGGTTATCCCGAGGTTAAGGTTCGGCCTCGGTGGAGAAATCGACATCGTTTTTTGACAATCACTGCCAATTTTGTCTTCGATAAAAACCGAAAATAAAAGACTTCGCATGTTCGTAACGGCATGTCGTCCCCTTAGGGCTCGTCCACACCAAGAAGTTTTCTCGGCAAAAAAAAAAAAACGACAAAAGGAAAAAATAAAAATTCTTGCAAAAAAAAATGTTAAAAATCCATTCCAGAACATCCTAACAAACAAAACCTTCAAACCTCCAAAGGAGCTTTCATACCACTTTGCAAAGAAAAACACAAAAAAAACTTCACGGTGTGATCAAGCCCATCACTCCACATCCCAGGAGACCCAGGGACAGAGGACCGCCCTGGAGAACGTTACCTTGGGGAATGAACGAGGCTCCGGGCCCTTGCCACGGAGAGATGCTGCAGCCTCCCTTGGTACAGTTGTCTCGCCGCCAGGCGGCAGCAGGCGCTCACCCCCGCCATGGTCTTGCCCTAGGGAGCAAAGAGATACGAGATGAGTCCGGACAGTCTGAATGAGATACGAGCGAGCCGAGATCGCTCGAAGGGATTCGGGGCCCAGAGACAGGGCCGTCCAGAAGGGGAAGCATAGGGGGCAATCTGCCCCAGACCTCGTGTATTAGACCGAGTTCATACTCGTGCTGTACAGCATATCCAACAGCGACAAAATCCAATCCAACACGGGCGTGTTGCATCGGACAGTATGCAGTTAGTAAGCAGTTGCAGCATCCAGCATGCCATACAGCACTAGTATGGACCCGGCCTTAAGGGGCTCCAAGGGGCCTCCGGTTTAGTTTTGCCCCTTGCCTCTGGAAACCTCTGGGCGGGCCTGCCCCGAGATAAGCAGAAATTCAAGAAATTATGTGAAAACCATTCTTCGAAGCCTTTCTCCCCCTAAATTCTCAACGGGATTCACAAACGTTAGGCCGAGGCCTAACCGACCGACTGCCTTCAGCTCACCCCCGGGCCTACCTTTTTTTTTTCTTTCAATTCTCGACTTACGGGGCCAATTAAGCCTACTTGGGTCAATCCGTGGTCTTGGAGGCATCTCGTTGAGGGCGTGTAACGTTAGGCCGATCGCAGACCTACTCATATTTTCACGGACCATTTCTGAGAGAACGTGTAACGTTAGACCGATTAGAGGCCTGTTTCGAGTTTGACGAACCATTTCGGTGCGAGCAAGTAACGTTAGGCCTATCTGGAGTTCTTCGAATCATTTCGACTGGGTCGGAGGAGAGAGAATGCCTCCGGGAAAGCTGAAATCAAGCCTGCACACAGAATACAGAATTTTGGACAGAATTAAAACAGAATTGAATTAAGACGGAATCGAGACAGGACTTAATATATTGACAGGAAATTTATAGGGTGTCACATCCAACCTGTGCAAGTGATTCCAAGAAACAAGGCGTTAGGTACAGCCCCTTTTGGACCAATCGCAGCATTGATCCAAATGCCCGGTCGCGCATCGTCTGCTATGAACCACGTGGCCCAAATGCCTGCCCGCGCATCGTCTGCTATGAACCACGTGGGAAGCTGCACGTGGCGGGTTTTTGAACCACGTGACAGGCTACACGTGGCGGGATGTTGGTTACGTACGGCTTGTGCAGTGAGGATGCCCCACAAGGGTCCAGCACTTATATGTGGCGAGTGCCGAAAGTCTCTTTCCAGCCGTGCGAAACTGCGGCAGCATATTATCGACGTGCACGGTAAACCATTGGAAGAANTTAAAGACATGTGCATTATTCGATACAGAGAAGTGAGGAACAACCATGATTTTTACCCACGACTCATGAGCCATAGGTTCCCGACCCCTGCCCTAGATTATAAAGGTAAGTACGGTCTTGGCAAGAGAGAAGTGAATACCGATGGATGTGGCCCTCACCCATCCTCGGTGGGTTCCATCCGGCCCGCAGATAGAGTTTGACACCCCTGGCCTAAAGGGAGCTATAAGGTGCTATGAGGTTGCGGGTTTATGGGACTGTGTAAGACGTAACGTTTTCACGCGCAGGGAATCTGCAAAAGACAACAAGGGTAGTGCAGGAGTAGGCGAAGCGATTACGGAACGGACTCCGTGTTGCACGAGCAGACGATGTGAGGTCACCCAATCTGATTGGCTCGAAAGGGGCTGTACCTAACGCCTGGTTTCCAAGAAAACGTCAACATAACGGTCGTTCGAATAGGAGTAACAGCTTTTTTTTCTGCGCGAAATGGGGTAATTTGGGGGGATGTGGCCCATAAAGGCGAAACCTGGAAAAATTTAATTAAATTAAAAAAAAAACAGGTACTTTTGCGAAAATGGTTGAACATACTTAGTACCTGGAAAACATGCAACAAGGCTAAGCAGTTGCAAGATACAATATTAGCTGCAATAAGGACAAGCAAAGAAGTCGGCATCATTATGAAGAATGCATGCCTCCTGGACCACGATCCCAAGTAGCAACAGTGACATCCGTTCAACATTAAAATTAGCTTGGGAGTGGCTTGGTCGATTGCGACAATTGGCGCCCGTGGCAGAAGATCCCGGGTCCCCCCCCCCCCCAAGATTGTCCGGCGGACGGACGCTGTAGGTGTCAGGGTGGATGCACTGTGAACGCCCGTTAGAGGTTGGGCAAGGAAGGAGAGATGTTCCGACTGCCCTGCCCTCTGGCCGTTCCTCCAGTAAGAAGGAGGTTTTCGCAGTCTCGGCGAGGTCGCGCGTGAAGTACCGAGATACGCGTATCGATTCCCCCGAAGTTGCTGGGAAGTCTGCTGTAGTTTCATGCTCCATTCGATTCATCTTCACGTACAAACAAGTGGAAGAATTCGATATCGTCGATGCATCGGTCGAGAGCGGCAACTCGATTAAAAGAGACTCCCGGCAATTCTCGACCGGCGGATGGAGGAAAGACGGTTCGCCTCGCAACCTGACCGCACGCGGAGTATAATGAGGGCCCTTATGGCCAGGCGTGGCTATACATAATTGGCATGTCCGTGAATGGGAGGCTGTGTCTGAAGACTTTTTGATCGCAAGGGAGATGATTACCTTGGGATCTATGGGAAATGCGCTTCTTGTGCGAACTGAGAGGTCCTGTAGCGCGTGGAAAACGGGGTGGAGGTCCCTGCACATATACGCTAAGTTATTTATTTTTTAATCATAGGAATCATTTCTACCGCGAGGAAATATTCTATTCTATCCACCTGCATTCAAACTTCGCGCCATACAATTTTCTAGCGCACATCCAGCGGATCTCTGTACGTCCGCAGCGGATATGCATCGGCTGACCCCTGGTTGCCTGGGATCTCGCAGAAAAGGAATATAACACTGCCGACGGGTCAGTGTAGTGCTCCCCATGAAATCAAGGTCAATATCCCCCCGTGTTGGCTCGTATGACAAAGTTGGCAACACCGCCTGCAAACGCTCGTACGAAAAAGTCGACAACACTGCCCGCACCCCGCAACTGAAAGGGTCCCATCAGCACTCTGGAGGGACTTCAGAACTTCAAACGGGTTCTGTCTCCATGCTGATATTAGGAGAAATGCGAAATTCCACTTCCAAAGCGGCGGATTTTCTGCCTTTCAAATTTACAGTCACCCCAATTTCCATCTACAGATGGTCTCGATGTCGACGTTCGCAACCGTCCACGCAGACTAGGGCGACATCTATCAGCCCGGAAATACACCGCCGCCGCGTCCTAACGAGTCTTTTTTTTTTCGGACCTCGAACTGTCGGCGAAGTCTTCGGTTTCGTCGGCTTCGTCTCGCGATCGACGGAGCCGGTACAAAATTCCCACCTTGGGTCGAGTCGAAGGACGACCTGGACTGCCGTTTCACACGTCGACCACATCTGTGCTTTGCATAACACGAGACGCGATTGTGGCTTCGACAAGAATCGCAGTGAAATCACGAAGGATCAGATTAATGGATTAACCGAATTAGAAGCTAAGGGAGAGGCGTTTAATTTTTTTATTCAAAGAAAAGCTCGGCGGTGCTCGACGGTTGCGACACACGCGGCGATTCCGCATTTCTTGCATTCGTACAGGCGTCAAAATCGAAGCTTCAGTTTCGTCTGATTCGGTTCGGTTGGATCGAGGAAAAGACGGACGATGCGACACGAACCGTGCCAGGCTACCGGCAAGCATTTCTTCTTCCGGACGCGAGCGACGGCGGACGAAATCAAGGAATGCTCTCGCCTCGGCGATAAGATAGGGAGATCATCCCACTTCCTGAAGAATTTCACTGCGAGAGGTGGGGGGGGGGGGCCTGTGCAGCAAGACGAGGTCCTACTCCCGACGTCTTACAGACTTATTCCTATTTTATAAACTGCCAATTAGCAAACAGCATAAATGGGCATGCAGTTCATTTTACATGCGAATATGCAATGAGGCAAAAATGAAAGTACAGTAATCGTAAGCAAGCGCGTTCTTCAACTCATTAAAACCAACAAAGGCAAACGTTGCGCGCTGCGGAAGAGTTATCTCGTCGCCTCGTAACGTCGACGAGGCCCACGTCAACAGTCTCAAGACCTTGGCATTCGCTTCGACACGAGATCAGAATGCTTCCTGTGACCTCCGACGGTGTACTCAATTTTATGACCCCCCCACCATATATCTCGCAGTCGAAGGTCAATGCGAGTTGGCTCGCGCCAAGCCGCTAGGGCAACGCCCCCGTCCGTCTGCTCGAGCTCGTGGACGCACGCGACACCTAGCGGTTCTTCGAGGAACCACTGCGAAGGGGCCTGGACCAAAGACCCAAGAAGACAGGACACTGCGCGAAAGCAGTGAAACGTGAAAGCAGTGAAAAGTGGAAAGCAGTGAAAACCGCAATGGCGGTCTATGTCCAGGTGGTTGGCCCTCGAACTAACGTCAACGTTTCCTGGAGCAGAGCGCTAGTGTCTCTTGAACGAATTCGCGTCCGAAGTTTGTTTTTTGTTAATTTACGAAATGCATTATTTTCCTGAACTGGAGATCGCTGAATCACAATGGCAATCTCATCTGTTGCGAGAACATTTAGGCTTAGCAGCCAGCAACAATGTGTGCGAGTAGAAGCCAGCTGTGACGCAACTGGACCCCAAGAACAGTCCCCATGGCTGAAAATCCAAAGCAAAGCTGCAATATCCACAGCCTGTTTTTATCCCTTCAAAATTGAAGTCATCCCATTCTAACAGGCCTGTCAATCCGAGACGCATAAATGTTGACCTTTTCGTGAGGTAATTAAGGTTACTCAGCATTTTACTTCATCCGCCTGTTACATCCCAGGTAACACAGAACATTGAATCAACATGGATTGGATGTGGATTGAGTGTGTGAATGTTGAAGGTGAACATTGTTTCAATGTTGATACAATGTCGTCGCATCACATTGTGGATTCCAATTGGGGAATATTCGGATTATATCTATTAGATGTGGCATAATTGTTAACCCCTCTTAAAATGATAAAGGGTGGGACCTCTCCAATAGGTTTTCGGAGCACTATCAACCTACCACAACATGGTTTCAATGTGGAAAAAATGTGACTTCACAACTATTGAGTTGCATGCCGTTTATTATAAAGTATTTGAATAATGATTTTTTTTTAATTCGGAAACAAATACATAAAACATTTCCAATTATCCTACGGTCATCGCGGAGACGTCTTGCATCCTCTTATGAACGTTATGTTACTAGGGTAGTGTAGTCTAGGCGCGTTCATAATGAAGTACCAAGAGTGCTCACTAAATGGTATCCATGTTCCCCTGTAGCCTCCTAATGCAATTACGGATCTGTCACCTTCCATTAAAGCGTTTTATTCCCACTTTCCTCTTATTATTACGTAATTAATGAACACATATATTAGAGAAATGTGGAATTATGATGTTCTGATTGCAGAATCTGATTCTGAGACAAATTAAATGTCCAGGTTTAGTGTGAGCGCATAGAAGTCTAGGCGATTGGAGACGTGTAGAGCACACACAAAAATAACCTGAAGTGATCCAATCACAAATCTTCTAA